TTTCAGATGATTTCTAGATTACAAGAGTTATCATGGAAGTGATCTGAAAGCTACAAAAAAAAAAAAAATCAGCACCCATGCTATTGCTTTGATTAGAGTTATTTTTTCACAGATTTTCAAAGAAAAAAACCCCAGCAAATATTTGGGAATTGAAACAAATATTACCAGAAATTGTAATGCCATGCTGATTTCCTCCAGGGGACATAGACACTATAGATCTGTCATAGTGCAAGTCCTTTCCTGGAGTTGATAAGAAATGACAAAAATGCTATCATTGTAGGAAATTAGCATATATATTGTTTAATGATTATATTTTTTTTAGGGATGGAGAACTTTTTTGTAAGAAGATAGCACAGAAATATAACTTAACTCATAATAAGGCTCACATCTTCACTTAAATCTTGACTGAGCTGTCCCATCCTTTCTTTTGTAGACTGAGTTTTAACTTTGTCCTCGTACCTCTACTAATTAGTTTACCTTCTAATGCATAAAATTATTTTCCTCATCCTACTTGTGTCTGAACAAGGCTTTAAAGTCAGATAGGCTGGTAGTAACCACTGGTTACAGCTCCAAGGCCTGGAATCAACCTAATTCCTAACCCATATTTCTCCAGTCCAGTCCAGTGCCATTACTGGACATAAACACCAAACACCTCAGTAGTTAAGTTCACATGAAGATTTCCAAACCAGACTGGTGAGCACCTGTGAGGTCTGAGTGGGAGCCCAGCTGCTGACATGAGCCTTGCACAAAGCCCAGTATTAAGTGCTCATCCACAAGACAGAAGAACAAACTCCTGTGCTGCCCTGCTTTTTAACCTCTATTTGGGATGTTAACTTAAGACAAACATCTCATCATAAATAAAAACAACACAGTGCTATAAAAAGACCCTGGTGACTTGGTCTCTCTACTGACTTACTGGTCTCTCCCATTCTGAGCAAATCCCCAATTCACTGGCCAGATTTCAGGAGATTGGATCTACCCCACTACCCAAAAAAGAATTAATCTCATTTTTTCTACTCAAACTCATCAACATGTGATGTATGAATATGGGAGGGTACAAACTGTGTGCTCTCCCTGTTTCCTCATGGTTAAAGAATTCCTTTCTGAATTTCATTGCTGAGGATAAAGATTGCTCCAAATGAAGTCTCCACAGGCCAGCCAAATGCTCTTGCAGATGGGTCTTGGTGTGGGTGTTTAAGAGGTTGGGGTCAGCTCTGCCCCAAAAGTGTGCAAAGAAAGCCCAGAAAAGATTATTCAGGGTCCAGTCTTATGTCCTTTACTGTGGAAATTCTAAGGATACTTGACTAAATAGTAGAAGTGATGGCTTGAACCAGAAACACCAAAGGTAAAATTGTAACTTTAAATCATTCCTATAGGTCTGTCTAAAATAATGGTCTCAAATGAAGCAGTATTTAGCGAGCCTGTCCCTTTCAAACCAAAAAGTCACATTACACACAGAGAACAAGATGACATGCTACTTTTCAGATGACTGACAGATCATTTCAGTTTTTGAAACCTAGCGTTTTAGTAACCTGTCCTTTGTTAGTCAATAACAGTGGTTCCTGCCTCCCCCCACCCCCCAGCTACTTGCTGGAGCTCAGATTTGTTCTAGTGAGACAAATCAGTTGTGAGATTTCTTTTTTGTGTCTCAGTGAATTGCTGTCACTGAAAAGGATGATAAATTATTATTTTTGTTGACAATAGAAAATAACTAAAGTGCTAATCAGATCCCACATTCTGGGATCAATACAGAATTTCTTACTAGACTGTCTTTTACACTCCTGTTCAAAGTCAGCTTCCTTCTATCCCAGACATCACTTGATCATACAACAACCAGTTTCCCAATAAATTAATGAAATATGGTTTCTGGCATGTTGCTACCTTGCTCAGTGAATGCTTCTGAAATGAACATTCTTCTCCCTTATACAAACCTTAATGGAATGGCACATCACACTTTTGCAGGCTTAATGTAGCTAGAAGGATATGATCCCCTTAGTGACTTTGGAATAACCAGGAGAGAAATACTCTCACTGCAGGTGAAGGACTGCAGTGAGAGTGAGTTTTCACTTACTCAGGGTCCTTGCTAGCATCCTGCTTCCAAAACTTCTGTCTACCTTAGTTTGTCTAACCTTTTTTGCTCATCTCTTCTGTTTACTTTTCTCTCAATGTGATTCCCTAAATCATTAAACTCCCCCAGATACCTCAGTAAAAGGGTTCTCCCATCTCTCCCTTCACACCTTCTGGATTCTGTCTGCCCACACTGATACTGTGGCCCTCAGCCAGCTCTGTCCTTCCCTACTGCTCATTCTCTGGATTGTAGCAATGTAGATAAGCATGGGTATGCATCCATGAAAGTCCTTCCTAATGCCCAGGTTTATGGAGGTAATATGCAAGTTCCATGTCCATGGAACTTGGCACACTGGTAGCCCAGTTCTGGTGGACCTCCCCTTTCCGGCTCTATGCACCTTGTAGTGTTTTTGCACTTGACCATTCATTTCTTATTATTATTTGGATTAAATTCCCAAGCGTATCAAAATGACACTGTGTAAACCCTGAAATCATGCTGGGTACAGGAAATGGCAGAAATTTTTCTGGTGAGAAATAATTAGTTCATATAATTTTATCTGATGTTTTGTTGCTTATTAGTGGCTGTTTTATTAGATTCTTGCTAAAAGCAGGTGGCTGCTGTCTGCTTTGTCTCCCACTGGAGCTGTCTGTTTTAAACTCTTTCAAGTTGCCCACTGGTTGGAGCTTTCAGCAAAGAGTCAGAGTGACTGGCTAAGGGAATCCCTCTGTGTGTGGGAGTCTGGAATGCAAATCCAAGTGGTACATGCTGGAGGGAAGATGACTGCAGAACAAGCAGGAAGAAAATTCCAAGTAGTTTATTTTACATATAGGTGCTTTTCTTATTCTAGCAAAATTTCTTTGGTGCAGAAGAAATAAACCTATCGGTGATAATATAGTTCTGCCACATGACAGGCTGCTGCTCATCAGACTGAGACATTCTTATTTTCCTTTCTTTTTAAAGAAAAAAGATCTAACTTGCCAGTTGAATGTTTTTTGAGTTATTGTATTTTCTGTATGTAAAGTAGTAACAAAGCAGCCAGGGTATAAGATAACATGTTCAGTCTGCAATAATCAGATGGGACCAAATGTATTCTTGGTACAACTCTATTAACTTTGATGGGCTTACAGGAGAGAAAAGTACAGCCCATTGACATTAAGGTGGAAATTTTTCCTGGATAGAGAGCTGCAATATCTCTATAGGAAATACTGATGAGATTGTTCCATGTCTTGGAGGCACAGTCATTACAATTAATGAGGTGAGTCTATATGATATACAGCATTTTGTTGTATGTATTTTTTTTCATTTAGCAGGCTTATACTACGTTTTTACGTGTACTATTTCTGTTCAAGAGTAATAGCTTTGATTTCATGCTCTCACTGCTCAGTGTGCAGTCTCTGGACTGAACAGTAGAAGTGTTTCTAAGGAAATAACACAACTAGGGACAGTAACTGCTAAACAAATGGTACAGGTGGATGTGATTTACTGCTGACCAAGTCTCATTTGAACTGTTTGGCACACCTCTAAATTAACTGAACAGATGGTTTTTTAATTAGTTCTGTCATTTCATTTTCTGCATTCTTAATACGTGTCAGGGTGCATGTCAGGGAGTATTAGCATCAATTTCAAGTGATAGAAAAATATTCATAGCAAGAATAAGCTGATAATAACAATAACAAAACATAATTAGAGTACAAATTGGAGGTCTGCAGATTTATAAACATGGTAAACCTAGATTTATGAGACTTCAGAGATTTGTTCAAAATGAGAAATGCCTTAAACTTGCTGCAAACCAATTAGTTCTGTGCAGACCTAGAGCAGGGTTTTCTGGCTTCTTGCAGTGGGATAGGCCTCACTAATGTGAATTGCCTGAGAAGAGTTCTTGAATTTATGCATTTGATTTATCTGTTTCTACCTTCCCCAAAGGGCAGAATCACTTCCCAAGCACTGAAGTGTGTTTTAGCTTCAGAGATGGCAGTGAAAGCTTTACTTATTCTCTCCTTCAGACCAAAGTGATATTTGTCCAAGTGCAAAATCCTTTCTTTGCCATTTCCAGCCAGGCTAGTGGAACCGTTTCCAAGGGAAGGTAGCAGCAGAATTTGGTTCAAGTATAGTGACATGGCAGCAACTGTTACACTTCCATATGAAATTAAAATTGTAGCGATTTCTCATGAAAAAAGCAACACATTATAATATATTTTTATTAGGAAAATCTGTCAGATGTTGTGTATATGATGGAAGTTAACAAGATAAAGTGGAATCTACATAAAAACAAATTCTACATGACTATAGAAATAGAATGTCATGCTGTTCATATAGCTTAAGCTGCAAAGATTGCTTTTTATGCATTTGTAATTCTCCATGGCAAACTAGATAAAGCACTCATTTCCTCCAGATTTAACTCTGCAGGAAATACCTTAGAACTATAGCAGGCCATATATCCCAAGTAGAATCAACATCTAAGTTAAAGCAAATAGCTTTAATCATAGACTTTTAAAATGCATTCCTATTTGGATCTGCAGAAAATAAGTAACATGTAAACAGGCCTAATCAAAGCAGTATTTCCAGCAGCAGGATCCTAGAGGAATTGAATGGGAGAGTCCTCAGCACAGGGACATAATGACATAGTGGGAAGTGCTTTATTTAATACACAACATAAAGGTCTGGTACACTTTTATTTATAAATATCTTTTTTTGATGTCTTACTGGTTAAAACACACACAAAAAAGTGTTGTTTTTCTTTTTTTCCCAAGAATAAGGAAAGTATTTAAGCCTGAGTGACTTTATGCAAGTACAAGCTTATTGTTTTCTTATTCAGTCTTAGATCACTTGCTGTCTTTTGAGCAAAATCTTCTCAGCATCTCATGAAAAGCAATTGTCAGCAGCAGAGTTACTGCTGGTGGAGCAACTGTGGTTAAAGTCACTTCTCCGGAGCAACTGTGGTTAAAGTCACTTCTCCATTTCAAAACTGGGGCGAATACCGAGGCCTTTGCAGTATCCTAATCACCTTGATGGCGTAGGTGGAAAAGTAGAAGCCCAGCCAGAAATGAGTGAAGAACTGCAGGCATTTGAGGTGCAAGCTGTCGGGGGGGGCCTCGCTGGCAATGAGCTTGAAGAACTGGGTCTCTGCCACAGGATAAGTCTCAGGACAGGTTGTTCTTGGGGTGTGGGCCTCTCTAGGCTGGCTGCTCACAAAGATGTCTGAGTCGTCTCTCCGCACTCCAAACAACATGTCAATCCTGAAGCTCTCTTCTCCGTTGGTCACCTTGAATTGGCAGGAGCGTCTGGAGGGCAGCAGTGTTAAATGCCAATTGTGTGCCAAAGCTGGCCAGATTGCTCTCACCAGTTGGTGGAACCAGCAGGCCGTGTTCTGCACGTCCAGGTAGGAGCCGATGCACAGGGTGTCCAGGAGGCTGGGATCCTGATTCCTCCTTAACTCCTCCTCAGGGTGGTGCAGGAAGCACAGCATGTTCTCCCCCTGCTGCTCCCTTGTGCAGGTGCACTCCAGCTGCACGCGGACACGGAAGTTCCTCACCTGCCTCTGCCCTGCAGTGTCCAGCTCCAGGTGGAAGCTGTGGCCTCGGGGAGGAGTCATGGGTACAAGCACGCAGTAGACAACATCCTGCTCACGGGGACTCCAACCTTCAAAGGCGCTGCCCACGCCGATGGCTTGTTGCAGGACTGAGTAGAAACTGTTTGACAAGACACGACCAAAAAAAATGGTATAATTGTTCATCAGCTCAGTTGTCCACTCACAGCCTCTCTGCAGGTCCTGTACAGGCCACTGGATGCACGCCATCACACATTCACCAAACATATCCTCAGCATCATCCTCTTCTTCTTGCACTAAATTTGCAAATTCATCGTCGTTTTCTGCATCTGCAACCTCATTGACAGCTTCATTTCCATCATCATCTGCCTCATTTGCAGCAGCATTGCCCACTTCCTGTACGTTGCCATCATCGTTGCCTTCCTCCTGGTTCGCATTGTCTTCTTCATTTCCAACAGCTTCTTCTCCATGCGCAGCCCCATTTCTGACTCCCTCTTCATTTGCGCCATTATTTCCTTCTTCGTTCTCCTCTCTCCTCAGGCTCCTTTCCCACCCCATAAACCACAAGGACCAGGAGCACAGCAACAGTCACGAGCTGCAAGTACTGTTGCGCTTCACTCTTCTGGATGAGCCGCTCCACGTCCTGCTCCAGCAGAAGCCTCTCCTGTTCCAGCTGCTGTGCACGCAATTCCATCTTCCGACGATCTTCCTCATCCCAATCCCCCACAGGCTGTGGGTAAAGGGTGACGCTCTTCAAGAGCATGAAAAGGAATACTATGGAATTCATGGTCTGCAGGAGGATGGAGAGTCACGCGGTGAGGGAGGGAACTACTGGTTGCAGGAGGGAGGACAGCAGGAATGTGCTCAGGGATCGGAGGGCAGGAAAAACAGGGCCCCAGACAGCTGGCAGGCAGCAAGGCCTGTACTGCTGTACCCAGCAGCAGCAGCAGCAGCAGCGTGGCCTGCCCAAGGCTCTCCCACAGGGGGCTGTCCCCGCATGCAGGGATAGAAGCCAGCCCTGGGTGCAGAGTTTCCACCCTGACCCTTGTCCCCAGCCCAGCCTCCCCACCACGTGTGCACTTACCGCTTGCCCAAGCAATGAAGACCAGCATTACCTGCTGGGGCCTTTTTTAGCTGCCCCCATTGTGACATGTCTCCTGTGATGTCACAGGTGTCAGAGCACATCACAAACCAGCCAGCTCCACCCTTTGTCCCCACCCTGGCTTAGCCACTCAGAGTGACTAAATGACAAGTTAAATCTTTCTTCCAGTGAAGAGTCAATCTTTCTGGCCATACTTTGAAAATCTGTTTTCTCTATTACATCTTTCATTTAGAAGCTCCCTTCATGCCTGAGTAGAAAATAAGGCTGCCTGTCACCTTGGGAACCTGCTCTTCAGAATGGAAACGATCTCTCAGACATGTGCTTTAGCTTAGTTTGGCTGTGATGAAGTGGTGAAGCAGAGATGCTGGTCAACAGGCACTAAAACCACAAATCTAGCTGCAACACATTTGTTTGCAAATTTAGAGATTTGTGGGTAGTAAAGAAGATGCAGCAACTATCACTGCCTCTTAACTTATCCTGATAGTCCTCTTACCTGATGGTAACCCAGTGGTGGTGGAAATGCAACTGCTGTCAGAAACCAGAATTCTGTGGGAAGAGATGTAGATAAATAGCTCTTAGCAGTGTGTTAAAATAGCAGAGTAAGATAATACTTCTGGGAAGTCATTCAAATAGAATCTCCTAGAGGTTCAGAGTCTCACTCAACAAGGATGCAGGATCAAGAGGGATGTGAGGATGACACATTTCCCCATGACCTGCCAGACCTAAGTAATAAATATTCAACTGGATTTTATTAAGTACTGCATTTGCTGCTTGTGCAAGCCCCTTTTCTCTCTAGTAACAAAAAAAAGGCAGCAGTGCCCCAAATGGAAAATGTGGATCTGAGATTGACCAGTCACCAGAGTATCTGCCGTTCTCTTTGTGTAGGAAACATGAGCACGCTTTGAGATTAGAGTAGGAAGCTAAATGCTGTACTAAGTATAAGTCTTCAGAGGGAATGGTCTTCAGTATGCACTGCAGAACAGAGGGTTCAAAGGGTTCAGTTTGAAACAATATTCAGGAAAATACAACTTGAAAAATACTGCACTATCCACCCATGAAAATTGGCACAATAATTTTAATATTATCTCTGTTTCTTACAGCTCTTGCAGCTGAGCTCCGTAACTGCATAAAGGAAAAAATCTAGAGACATGATTTTGCCATACTAACTGGGGTGATCAGATATCATATGTACAGTGTACAAAGGCACATTTAAGATTAATTCAAATGGTGTACAGGAAACTGAAAAGCCCATTAATCTTGTATATTTTAATCATTGTTTTACTGGCTCACATTGGCAATAATGTCTTAATTCAATAAGCCTCAATTCAGTAGTTCAGTCTTAAATCTTGAACAGCTGGTAGAGATTTTAATAGAATTCAGCAATTTAGTCGATATATGAGAACTGAGATAAGCAAAGAAAGATCTACCAGAGATCGGATATAAAATTAGAGACAGTATAATTTTTGATGGGCCATGACCTCAGCAGCTAAGAATTGTCATTTCTCTGTGAAATTAGATGAAGGGATAATGAAGCCATTACCTTGTGAACTTTGAAATGATAAATAAATAGCAAAGCTGCAGGACAGGCAAAGTAAGTTATATCCAGCATCTGGAGTACCTCATGCAATTTATCTTTAAATTCCACATAAACTCTTTAAATCTGCATATATTAGTATAAATAAGAGTTACTAAACTGAAGAATTCTCTCCCGAAGGAATGCACATTACTTAGTGATACAAATATATGTAAATAAATATAATACTTTGTTAATCACAAGTCAACCAAGCTATCTTATGATTTATGTCTTAAATTTTGTTGGCCAGGTAAATAATTTAATCATATTTATCCTAGTGTTATCTCAGACAAAATACACCCTGTGTTTTCCTTAGGCTTCAATGAAATTACTGCTTTCCTTCAGCAGGAAATTAAGAGCAGCAGAAATATCTGAACACCTTCGGACAGTGACTTTGTGAATATGAAATCTGTCTGTTTTTCTTTACCTTGGGCATAAATGTTTGGTCAGCAGGTACATTCTGAGCTTGTCTAGCTGAAATGTAAGGTGCAAGCATGATGCTTTTGCAAAGCAAGGGCAAGGACAAGTTCCATCCTGGAGGGTGATAGAAATATGTTTAGCAAAGGACAGAATAGGAAATTAACTGCATTTTATCCTGTGATGGTTTGGGTAATACAGACTTGATGCACTTTTTGCTCTGTGCACCAGGTGATTTTTTATTAACACATTGCTACTAGTTTTAGGCACAATTTTATTGTGATGAAGATGATGATTTTGGCTGTCTCTGTAGGCATTTCATCTGATGATTTTTAAGTCACTTACTAAATGTGCATGTTGATATAATCTTCTTTAGTGCATTATACATGTACTTAATGAAGTGTGATTTTTCAGTGGATGCTTATGGTAACTATTTTTCCAAACAGGCAGTAACATATTTGGGTGATCACAATTCTATTTGCTGCATGGTTCACTGCTCACTCAGTTCTGGAGTTACTGAGAAGGTGGAAAGACTTGCATTACCAAAGATTTAAAAAGTAGTGTTATATGAAACCAGACTATAAGCCATAACTCAATTTTAAAATACAAGCAGATCAGTGACAGCAGGTTATTTCTTTGACTGGGAATGATTAAGAGGTTAGAAAGGATATGGACAACACTGAAAATAGTGGGGGAAAAAAAAAATCTGTATTTGCCTGTTCAGAAACTCATTTTCACATATTCTGAGTGAAACAAAACCAAAACTCAAAATACAGGCAGACCAAACCAGGACCTTCTAATCTAATCCCCTTCAGACTTTAAGGAGCTGGATGATCTCAAGATTCATCAGTCTTTTTTTTCTCTAAGAAAACCACAAGTGAAGGGGGGAAGCAAAGTCAGCATCCCAGAGCTTAATTAATGTATTTGCTTATAGTACTCACCTTAGTCTCCTGTAGGTGTAGGTAAACCCAGACATCAAAACAGAGTAATACAGTGGTGAAACGGGCCTGGTTTGGAACGTGCTTTAAGACTAGTTACCAGTACATCTCAGGAGTAATTCCCCACAAACACAACTGTGAATACATGGATTCTACTATTAGAGATCAAAATCACTGTTTCCTGTGTGCTTTGGATTCATCAAAGAAGCCTTTGCACTGCCATGCTGCTTCTATTTTCTTCCCCAGACAGGAAAGTAGTTAAGGCCAAATTTACCTTTAGGCACATCTCTACATTTGGAATGACTTGGAACAGAAGCTCTGTTCACTGGAAGCATATTAGGAAAAGACAAAGACCTGTGGAATTCCAGAGCAGAATCCAGAACCTTTGAGTAAGGCCATATTGGGAATGTCAGGAATATCAGTTGTCAGTGTTCCACCAAATACCTTTTTCAAGGCTGCTTGAATTAAAGGAAAAAATACTTTTCTTATTTGCCCATAAAGAATCAGGAAAAGAAGGAAAACCCGCTTACACAGATTACAGACAATGATGCTCAAAAGGGCATGTCAGAGGCTCTGCCTGCATTACTTGTTCCCAGCATGGCCAGATGCAACATTGAGAACTTGCTAAAGGCTTCAATGGAGAAACACCAAGTGGGATGGATGGGGTGGGAGAAGAATTTGGTGCCCCTGAGAAACAAGGACTAGACTTTTGTCAATAGTTACCTTTTAGGCATTACTCTCATCACCTACCAAACAGTTAAGAATCATGCTCTCTATTTTTTGAAAGGCTTTTACATTCTTACAGACAATGCCTAGAGTAGGTGAATATAAAATGGGGAAGTTCTTACCAGAATTACTAAAACTTTCTCAAAATAACAGTTTCAAAAAATTTAATAATGCCTTGTACCATTGCTATTGATTACCTTTTCTACTTACTATTTTAATGGTTAGATGCCTCACACAGAGAAGAGAATAGAAAAAAAAATCCACTTATTTTTCTTAGCTCTTTAGTTATTTTACCTATATTTACCTTATTCTGTCATGGTACTGTCCTCCCTTGATTGCTAACACTGCAAGGAATCATTCTGATACAAATTAAGAAGTCCATACTCATTTTCTGAGATATAACATACTTTTGGTAATGCTGTATCTTGGAATCTCTTTAGAAAGAACTTAACTTTGAAAGTAAACCAACAGCACCACGTTACTGGAAACCATATGATGCATATACTGCAAAGGTGCTAAAAATATAGAGTAGTTTAGAATATGTATTTTAACAGTATTTCTCTTTCCCGAGAGAAATTTTCAGTCACTTCCATCTGCCTATATCCACTTTTATACTTACCCCTGTTTCTAAAATAAATCTGACTCTCTTACTTAGGTTTCTTTTTATTCTAACCCCTAAATATTTTATCCATTCAGTTGCCTTCACAAAAGTCCCATTTATGTGAGGAGTCCTGTATTATCCTTGATATAGGGTCAGAAATACAGATTTTCCTCATTATTTAAAAACTCCAAGCTGCACTAGAATGTGCCTGGTTATTTCACATAAAAAAATAGCTACCTTTTGTTTCATGAGAAAGTGTAATCCATGTATGTGGGAAGTTTGCATCATAATCTTCACATCCAATTGTGAGTGTATCAGTGTTAAAATCCTTCTTTTATAGCACCATTTTGGATTTATGACCACACAGATAATAATGAGGATAAAGAAATAAGTGCCATCCTAGTAATGTTTACCCAACAAGTATTTGCATGAAAGAGGAGTATTTATATAATTGATGACAAAAAGTTTCTTCAATGCTTTTCATAAAGCCATATTTCACTGATCTT